GGAATTGGTAAGAAATCTTATTGCTGGTTTGCCAGATAGGACGAGCCAGAGCCACCGTGCACTAGGAGAAAAGAAAAAAGGAGAAGGGGGGCAAAAAAGGAGCTGAACAAATGCATAGTTTGACAGCAAAGCGGGAAGTCTCGTTTCAGTCGCATCCAAGAGAAGTGTGGAGGTGAAGGGCTGGAGTCCCTGCGGCGGCACTTCGAGGAGCACCTCAAGGCTGCCACCTTGTCCCCAGAGCTGCCATCTTGTCCCCAGGGCTGCTACCTCGCAGCCCACCTCCTGCTCCAGCGGCATCCCCCTGGCCACCTGCTCCCCAAGATACCTCTGAGGGGAAAGGAGAGGTGACGGCAGGGAAAAGGTGACAAGAGACGGAGGTGGTGGTCCTCCTCAGGCTGTGGTATGGGGGTGTGAAGGGACCATTGGGTGTTTGTCATGAGGGGCCGGTGTCTTGGGAGGGCAGATAGGCTGTGGAGCAGGCTGGAGTAGAAGGGAGGACGCAGGGTTGGAGTAGGAGGGCTAGCTGATTGCAGGGTGCAGGGTATGAGGAGGGTGTTGCTGCTATCTTTTCTCACTAGCGTGGTCGCTCGGCTGAGCGAAGCCACGTGCGCTGAGGGAGCAGTGCTGAGTCCTACCCCGGACCTGCAAAGGAAACTGAGAAACAACCCTGCTCCTCGTGAGAGAGGAGAAATCGGGGGCAAGAGGGGAGCCTATGCTCACACACCAGTTTTTTTTCTTATATATATATTTATACAGGTCAAGGGCACATCTTAGGAATGTTGGTTGTATTTCCGATAGCCAAAATGAGGCAGTTCCGTGCAAGGGTTGGGAAGTTGTGTTTGTGTCCCTGCTCCTGTACTGGAGTTCCTGCTATTAGTGCCTGGGGGAGAGTTTCAGTGAACCAGAGACTCAAATACTCCCATCTCTGTATCCACCTGCTCCTTCCTGCCCTAATATCTTTCCACCTATTTCTCAAGTCACCCAAAGCCTTTTAGCTCTAAGCTTGCTCTTTCACCCCACCCTTAATCCTGCCAAGAGCTGGGTCTTGCAAGTTTGCTCCATCCTTGGTACATCCCTAGCTGTTGTTTAGCTACCTCTGTCCTGTCTGCCCCCTCCTTTTGGTCTGTGAGCATTACTTACTTTGTGGCTGATGTTACACCAACTAAACCCACTGGCTCTGGCTGTACAAAGATGGGCTCCCGCTCCAGCTGGGCTTCCAGAAACCTGAATGCCCCATTAAATAATTTCCAGGGGAAGAGGCAGTGTGAATTCAGAGTCTGTTTTGCCGAGGAAGAAATCGAATCTAAATTATCTTTTCCTGTGCAGCTGTTCTAAACACCGTGTTTGTATATAAAAAGCAATATTCTTGAATTTATCTTTGAATGCATGAGTTAATTTTTTTCCCCCAAATAAAACTCCTCAGCAAATTCAGCAATATTTAGTGAACCTGAGTGTATGACACTGAGTGCAAAAGTAATCTTCAGAAGTAAAGAATCAAAAGTTCAGTTGGGAAAAAGCATACTTAAGTTTAAAGGTAATACTTGGGGAAAAAAAAAAATCCATTTTTAGTTTCCCTACCTGGTAAATTCTTCAGAAAAGTTTGTTATTTAACATTAGGCACAGTTAACCTGAAAAATAACATGCTTTTAAAGTGAAGATTTTCTTTTTGTGAAAGGCAGAGCCAGGATTTTTGCTTATTTCCCTTTCTTGGTGTCTTTTCTTCATTCTTCCAGCATCTGTCCTCAGGTTCATTTTATGTGCTGTTTAATATTTCTAAAATAAAAATTTCTGAGCATTTGTTTGATGGTTTTTTTTTTCCCCCTGTGAAAGCTTCTCTAATTATATATTTTTTTTTTCTGAATTTGCCTCCCTGTTGGAGGTGAGCTTTTAAAAAGTTTCATTTTTTGTGTAATTGCATTTGAACATTTGTCACATTGTTTTGTTTGTGTATTTTTACTTTGCTTTAGTTTGGTGATTTTTTTTTTTTAACTTTTCTTTGAAGAGCCAGTAGCTGAGTCATAAAAGACTGTCAGAGTAATGGTCTGTTCAATACTTCCTTGAAAACCAAGGCATTATAATAGTTCTTTTGCTTCAACAGTTACTTTACCTGTGATCACTTGAAAGAGCATAAAAAGAAACAGATATTTAGGTGCTTAAATATCTTAGAAAATTACAGTCCAAAGTGCCAAAGTAGAGCTGCCACTAAGGTGCTTAAAAACAATACGGAGAGCCCAGTACAGGAAACAAACAAATACTTATCAGCTCAGAAGGCTAGAGAAGGTGAAATTTGCCCTTTTGAGTACTTGGGATACTTTGAGTGATAGAGCATTACTTTTACTAAATAGATGAGCTTTGCAACATCTTCCATTTGGACAATTTTAATAGTATTATTTACCAAATCTTCATCTGGAGTTCCCTGGCTAGGTGGAACTGTTTCTGTGGAACTGAATATTTGTTTATTTATTTAATAACAAAAGGAAGACAGGATGTTCAGTTGCCATCAAGCTCCATGTTTGTTACCTTGCCAATAGCCCTCATACCTTCAATACCCATGTTAATTAAAATATACCAAATGCTGTTACAGTAATCTTACTAATTTTATTGTCATTCCAGCTTTTTCATCATGGAGGTATCAAATACAATTTTGTGATTCTGGGTGCTCCCCCTCGTTCTGATCTTTCTGTGTCTTTCTGCAGTCCTTCTGTCTCTGTGCAATATCATTGATGGGACAAAGAAGTGGACGTCAACAAAGAAGCAAGAAACTACAGCTGGCATTAAGTGAGACCATGGAGGCAGAAGCAAACGTCCAAAATAATAAAGAGGAAGCCAAAGAGCTGAAGGCCAAAGACCAGAGGCTAATATCAGTTTTTGGTGTGGCAGACTTAAAAAACGGTAATAATGTTTTGTCTGTTCTTCACTTTCATATATTCTAGTGCCTACTGTTCCATTCTCTGTCCTTAGGCTTCATTTTCTTCTATTGTTTTCCTCTTTGTTGAGGAATATACAGACAATTCTCATTTTGCCCTGTCAAGTAACAATTGTGTTTTTTTTGGGAAGGGATTACATGAGGATCTCAGAGTTTTTTCCCCTTTTAAGTCCTCAAATTGGCCCTTGTAACAAAAAAGGTCTAGATGCTAGCCCTGTCTCTTTACAAACACAGCCAGCATTGCTTCTGGATTTGCTAAACCATGAACTAGGTCTTAGTTATTCTGCTACATCATGAGATTGTCCTCTCAAAAGCTGTCATTGGTATTTCAGGTGTACATACTGTTCTACCCCACCCTTACCACTGACTGTATGCATTTCCGAGTTGTTCTGAGTTTCCATTCCA